AGAGTCTGAGGACAAACGGCTGAAAATCCCTTCTACGGCATCTAGCTAAAGGTCAGTCAGGATGTTTGTGCTCTAGCAGGTAATAAACCCCGGTAGACTGAGGACATTCTGTTTTATGTGAAGCATGGTATGGAGAGCTGTTTGTAAAAACACCATGTTCATTTAATGGAGACAGGTAATGAGAACAGAACAAAGAAAAACAAAACACCCAGCTGATCAGAAAAAAATTAATACAATGCAATCCGTGTTTATTGTCATGGCCCCGGAGACTTGTTTTTTAGTACTGATCGGTTGCAAAGCAAGAGTCGACCCCACTGTGCTGCCTGCCTGCCAACAGCAGCAGCATCCTGCAGGGACAGGAAAGCAAAGCTGAGAAAGGATGGAAGGTTGGACCTGTCACTGTCCTGCAACCATAGTTACGGATCAAGAAACAAAAGGATAATCACAAATTACTGAATACTAATTTGTTTCATCATTATTTAAGAGCTGATGATAGCTTTGCTACCTAAAAGTAAGTGGCATGATAAGGACTGTGATGCTGTTAATTTACACATGTGAAAATTGTTAGCTCTGTAAAGCAAAGGGATTAACAGAAAATGTGAGAGAAATCAAAGAGAAAAAAGACCTGCCAAATTCTTACTGCTTCTATATCACTGCAAATGACAGCACAGGTTTCAATAAATGCCTTTTAAAACTTGTGATATATTTAGGATAACATAGTTTTTTGTGAAGAACGACTTACAGAACAAAGACCTGCTTATATTTTAGATGGTCAGCGTTTGTGCTTCCTCAGCATCACATTCTGTAAAAGTACACTTAAAATACAGCTAGTCCAAAATATCATTACCGGATACAACTCTATTTTTTTTATGCTAAAAGAAATGAGACTTAACAGTGCGTCAGTTAGCATTACTCACCTATTGCTGAAACAGTGGTTGGTGGATTCAAGCCACTAACAAAACATAGTATGTGTTAAGTTTGTCTCCTTGACGTAGAATCAGATGTGAATGTTATGAAAATCTTTTTAAAAAGTTAAACTGCCTACTGAGTAATCAATGCTATCAAAATGGAATCCTGCTTCATTACATCTTTATTTCCCAATTGAAATAAGAGTAAGCAGTTGCAAGTGCAATGTATTAGTATATTATCTTCGTAGCTGTAATGCAAATTGCTGTCTTCCAAAAACATTCTACAAACATATATGTCTCCTAAAATGCCTGAATCTTTAACAGTACTGCTAATGAAAACAATGAGAGAATCACCTCTCAGAATATCACACACGAACAAAGCAAACCTTTGGAAATATTTAGCTCGAACTCGTAGAGCAATCATATGATCCACTATGCTTATTTTCAACAAATCACGTATGCCTCAGTCCAGAGAAACACACAAGAAAATGTACCTTCTAAACTCTGTTTGTAAAGGTAATTTCTACCAAACATACGACTGTTTGGAAAGTTTTGTAGCTGTG